CTGTTTTCATTTTTACAAATTCTTCCAGCACCTCCCTGCAGGGATCTAAGAAGGACACAGCTTTAATACTCCCCTCTCAGCCGTGCAAGAACAATTTTTAGGGTGCGGGTGCTGAGTTACACCCTTCCCAGTTGCCAGCTCACCAGGATCGGACCGACTGGATGTCATTTGCAGTGATGGTGTCCAATCCATCCACTCTGAGAAAACAGGCAACCCAGCAGGTCCATACACGGCGGGGTGCAAAGGGTGCAAAAGCACCTCCCCCGCATTGTCCGCCAAGTAAGCATGCTGCAGCTGGCCGGGGGAAGGCTGGGGCTGATTTCCCCACTTACTTCGGGAACCACGGGAGGTGCATTTACAACCCTGCGGTCCACATTTACGAAAAAAGTGCGCACACACCCCGGAATTCCTGCGTACGGGCCTGTCTAGTCTCTCCTTGCCCCAAGCTGGGCAGCTGCTGAGTCCTAGGCTGAGGCCAGTAGCAGAGCCCCAGTAGCAATGGAACCTCTCGGCCGATGGCCTGGACACAGGGCCTGGCAGGGCCTGTGAGCTGTGGAGACACTGGGGGGGCAATGGGACCCCAAAGACCAGCAGAGCCCACAAGGCTAGTGGGACCCCCAGGAGGAGGTGGTGAAGCCAGTAGGGCCAGCGGGACCCTCCAGGAGCCAACCAGAGGCCATGATCAGGGCTGGCAAAACCAGCAGGAGGTTGGTTGCAGGAGCAGCCCCACTCCCCCTGGGGTATGCAGAAGCTGGGTGCAAAACCTGGGGGTGCTGCAGCACCCTCTCTGGGTACGTCTACACTACAGCGCTAGTTCGAACTAGGCGTTAGTCCTCGTAAAATGAGGTTTACCTAGTTCGAACTAAGCGCTCCGCTAGTTCGAATTTGAATCGAACTAGCGGAGCGCTTAGTTCGAACTAGCGCTGTAGTGTAGACGTACCCAGAGAGGGTGCTGCAGCACCCTCTCTGGGTACGTCTACACTACAGCGCTAGTTCGAACTAGGCGTTAGTCCTCGTAAAATGAGGTTTACCTAGTTCGAACTAAGCGCTCCGCTAGTTCGAATTTGAATCGAACTAGCGGAGCGCTTAGTTCGAACTAGCGCTGTAGTGTAGACGTACCCAGAGAGGGTGCTGCAGCACCCTCTCTGGGTACGTCTACACTACAGCGCTAGTTCGAACTAGGCGTTAGTCCTCGTAAAATGAGGTTTACCTAGTTCGAACTAAGCGCTCCGCTAGTTCGAATTTGAATCGAACTAGCGGAGCGCTTAGTTCGAACTAGCGCTGTAGTGTAGACGTACCCAGAGAGGGTGCTGCAGCACCCTCTCTGGGTACGTCTACACTACAGCGCTAGTTCGAACTAGGCGTTAGTCCTCGTAAAATGAGGTTTACCTAGTTCGAACTAAGCGCTCCGCTAGTTCGAATTTGAATCGAACTAGCGGAGCGCTTAGTTCGAACTAGCGCTGTAGTGTAGACGTACCCAGAGAGGGTGCTGCAGCACCCTCTCTGGGTACGTCTACACTACAGCGCTAGTTCGAACTAGGCGTTAGTCCTCGTAAAATGAGGTTTACCTAGTTCGAACTAAGCGCTCCGCTAGTTCGAATTTGAATCGAACTAGCGGAGCGCTTAGTTCGAACTAGCGCTGTAGTGTAGACGTACCCAGAGAGGGTGCTGCAGCACCCTCTCTGGGTACGTCTACACTACAGCGCTAGTTCGAACTAGGCGTTAGTCCTCGTAAAATGAGGTTTACCTAGTTCGAACTAAGCGCTCCGCTAGTTCGAATTTGAATCGAACTAGCGGAGCGCTTAGTTCGAACTAGCGCTGTAGTGTAGACGTACCCAGAGAGGGTGCTGCAGCACCCTCTCTGGGTACGTCTACACTACAGCGCTAGTTCGAACTAGTTTTTAGTTCTAGATGCGTTAGTTCGAACTAGCGCTGTAGTGTAGACGTACCCAGAGAGGGTGCTGCAGCACCCTCTCTCTGTATCCCTACTTCCCGTGCCTAGGTCCCCTGACCTCTAGGGGAATTGTCTGCCATCTGGGCAATGTGGTAGCAGCAGGGAGTGGATGGAATGGAACCATGGCTCCCTAAATTAGATGATAAATACCGGCTGGGCCCTTTCATCACACACAGCCGAAGTGTGGAGTGACAGTTAAAAGCAGAGGGAGCGTTAGGTAGAGTATCTCCCCCCACCTCAGGCACTGGCTGCTGTGGCCCTCAGGAATAAGAGTTGATAGGCCCCAGCGCGAACATGGCTGCCAGAGCTGGAATTTATTTTCAGATGGGGAGAGTTGTGCTGGGGGTGCAGGCTCAAAGGCAAATGGATGGGAACCAGGAGAGAGAGAGCAGGACAAGTCAAAAACACGTCCTCCTTAGAGGAAAACACTCCTCGGACTGTGACTGCCAAATCATTCTGCATCTCCACCCAGGCCCCATTAGATCCTAAGTCTTCCCTCACCTGCGAATAAGAAGCCTCGTCTCCTCTAACCACTGACAGCCCATCCCAGCTATTCAAAGTCCCCACGTCTCACAGCCGACTCATGCCTGCCCCATTTCAAATCCCAGGTAATAGGCACCTGACATCTAGAGTCCTCTCTGGCTGCAAAATTACCTTCTGTGGCAATGAAAAGTCCACAGATCATCTCCTGTGCCAGATACCAAAACCCTCCCAGCGAGGCATTTAGGTTTCTTTTCCAAACAGCGGCACTCTCTGCTTGCTTCCACTCTTAAGGACAGGCTTGGGGTTTTGTTTTGCAGACGTGGCATCCCATTGGCAGGCCAACAATAGCACATACATAGTAGGAGGAACAAATTAAGTTGATCTACTTTTAATGCTCATTCTTGGGAGGGGAAGGAGAAGGAATTAAAGTAGAAACACTGTAGGACCCTGATCTGTAATCCCAGCGTTGGGGTCAGCCATCGTCCTCCTGACACTATAACAATCTGCCACAACAATGTTCATCCCCCCTAGAGACCTCCACTGTGAAAAGCCACCCCACACAGTGATGTTTTCTTGGCAGCCCCTTGAACAGAGCGCTTTTTAATAAGCCGTCCTTGGTGGAAAGGATTGCAGCTGTATTTTCCTATGAATAGTTGTCATAGGAAGTCATTCCTGACCCTTGTCTCTCAAGCCCATGCTGTCAGGATGTCCCAAGCCCCCTGGGTATGTCCTAACTGCCAGCTCTGAAGTGAATTCACAGAAAAGTTCCCCTCAACCCCCAGTTAGTAAGAACCTCCCTGGGCTGGATTTTTTCCAACTGTGGTTCATTAATCCACAGCAAGTGGGGCACTTATATGTGCTGCCCTGCAACAACAATCTGATCGATGCAGAGCAAACTTTTAAATTATGCTCTTTAAATTACTCCCTTTTTATTCACTCTCATTATTGTTTCTAAAAAACATGCCCACATCAGCTCCCGCATCCCATTCCTACTGCTTTGGATGGGTTTCAAGTATCTTCCATTGCACTTAATCCAACAAATGCACCAAAGAGTCTGCAGGGGAGATGCTGTTCTTGCTTGGCTCCTGAGGTTCTCATTACTGCCTTCCCTCATTCCTCACGCTTCTGAGGTAATTAAAGCCTGGTGCACTGACAGGAATGTTAAAATGTTCCAGTCCATCTGCTCCATCACTACTGAGACAGCAAGATGAAGGAGGGTAATTGGCTTCACTCAGATTCTGCAGCTCAGGCAATGCCATTGCAGTTCATCCATTAGACTTGTGTTCCAGGACAGCTGTGTGATGATGATGATGATGATGATGATGATGAATGGCACACTGGACTCATGGCAGCACAGTTTGCAACCCTGTGCAGGAACCCTTGCTCCTGATTTTCATCCTCGGTTCTCTGGCTGGTGGGAAGTGATGGTGAGACAGGCTACTCTATCTGGGATGAGCAGGGAAAAGGGCATTTGCACTCCTTATGCAGCCTGTGTTTGGAAGCACAGGTCAGCATGAACCAATCGAGTGACTTGCCACATGAAACCATGGTTTACTTTCCAAGATTAAAATGCCGGCTCTCCCTGGCTCCTCACTTTGTGTTCTAATGTGTATAGGGGTCATAACATTGCCTACTGGCTAGAGTAGGCAGATCAGGAGTCCTGGGTTCTATTCCTTACTCTGGCATGGATTTAATATATCTCCTTATATCTAGGTGCCCACATACAAGGTTACATGTATGTGAATAGGACCTGTAGTTTTTGCCACTTTAACACAGCCATTTTATTGCAATGTACACAATATTTAAAGGCTAGTTAGAGGGCTCAAGACCAAACCATGCAGTGAATTTCTAAAGGTCAACACCTGAATCCACTGTCATTTTTCCCTGTTGCCTTCATTTAAGCCTTCACGTACCCTGGAGTCTTGGCAGTTCTTTGGACATTTGCTTGACTTACTGGAGGCTGTAATATGTCAACACAGTGTTCCTTATACTCTCTGTTTATGACAACGTGGCTGTCAAAGATACAATCCACATTCAGATAGTTATGCTTTTCCTCCAAGACGGAGCTGCACAAAAATTGTTCTCTGCTTCATTCCAAGAAGGCATTCAACTTGATTGTTAAAAGCAACCATCCAAAAACCTCTTCTAATACCACCAGCAACCTTTTGTCACAGTGTGGCTTTTTTTTCTTGTAACTTACACTGACTTTCAGAAAAGTTCAAGATATATAACCAAGCAAAAACTGAGGATAAGATTTTTAACATTATCATGTTACTCAAGACTTATTCTAAACACGGTTTTGTACTGGTGTAACTATGTGGATTAGGTGTGTGAGAAGTGTGTTGTGGGTTTTTGTTGTTGTTTTTGCTTACCAAAAGAGTGATACCAGATACCCTAGTGTGTGCACAGTTAGGGCTTATCTACATTATTTACATTACAGTGCCTTGGCTGGTATGCCTGTGCTGGCACAGTTGCTAGTATAGACAGTAGTTCTGTCAGTACTGTATTCTCTCTGAATGACATTAGCTAAGCTGATGGAAACACTCTTTTGTCAGCACAGTTGTTTTTACACTAGGGGCTTTGCTAGCATAGTTGTATGAAATAGCAAGGATGGGTGCCGGATGCCAACAAAACTCTTGTGTAAATGTTTCTTATAATGATACAACTTATTCCTTTTCTCATGCAGGAGGCCTGCCCCCTGCATGCTGCTGAGAAAAGTTGCTGCAGGGCTGTTTGAACAGCTGTAAGCCTGGGGAAAGGAGGAGACCCTTTGTTTGCTGCTCCCGCCCCCAGCACAATCCCATAGGCGGGAGGAGACCCTTTGTGTGCTGCTCCCGTCCCCAGCACAATCCCATAGGCCATCTTCCGGCCAATGGGAGCTGCCTGTTGTTAACAGGCAGCTTGCGAAGCACCCTCTCCAGCTCATAGCTGTTCAAAAAACACATGGCCCCAGCAGCCAGTGCGGGGGCAGGGCAGGCAGGGACTCTGCTTGAGAAGGCTGCTGGCTGGGAGTCAAGCAGGTAAGTCTCCTGGCCAGAGCCTGCCTCTGGCACCCCAATCCTCTGCCCCCCACTCTACATAATCCAAACACTCTGCCTCCTCTTGCCCTCATATTCCCTCCCAGATCCTGCACCCCAACCCTTGCCTCATGTCACAGCCTCCTCTTGTCCTAGGTCACAACCCAAACCCTCTGCCCCCCTTCTAGCCCCATATCTCCTATCAAATCCTTCATCCCAATCCCCTGCCCCAGGTCACAACCCAAACTCCTGCAGCCCAGTCTCCTGCCCTAGGTCACAACTCCTTCTTGCCCTAGATCACAGCCCAAACCCCTCCACCCCCTCCTGCACCTTAGTCCTCTGCCCCAGGTCACAACCCCCTCTTGCTCAAGGTGACCGATCTAGCTATATTGCTAAAATATAGAAATAAATTGCACACATCACCCATATCGTTATGTCGGCGTAATTTAAAGATAACATCAAGATAAGACAGACCTAAGATTCTTTTGAAAACCCCACCCAGTATCTTACCATAGCAATGCCCACTCCACTGAAGACAAAGACACTCAGCATGAGCAGGGTTCTCTCTGTAAAGCGACTAGTTAATCTTCCAATTACCAGACCCTGGACAACCTAGAAAAAGAGCACATGCACACATATGTTAAGGACTATACAAAATATCATATAGGACAAACTATAGGGGTAGAGCTGTTAAAGTTTTAGGCAAAGACCTGGGAGTTGGGACTTCTGTATCATTTTCCCAGCCGTCATTGCCACACTGCATGACCTCAGGAGAGTTACTGACTACCTGTGCCTCAGTTTTCCCATCTGTATAACGGGTATAAGCGTCCCTTACTATCTGAGTGGGAGGCTGCAAGACACAATTCATTAGGGTATGTAAAGCATTTTGACATGAAAGACACTTTGGGATTCAAAGTGCTGTATTATGAAATGCATTCTTATGAACCCTGTGCAGAGGGCCAGCACATTGTGTTTGTGAAGCAGCTCAGATACTATGGTGAAAGCACCAAAGACAGGACCATGAGGCAATGAATTATTGTGCTAAGTTTGATGAAGTGCAGTAAATAAAGACTGGGGTCATCCACTGAGTGTGAATATGGAATAACTGGCCTTCACTGAATGAAGCAGGGATCCTGTGGACAAACAGCAGGTGTTCACATAATGAATGACCTCATACATTTTGGTTGCTACTAGATCAATTAAAGAGTGTCATGTGAGGTCTCAAACAAAAACCAGTGTCACAGTGGTCGTCAATATCATTGCAAAAGGCGTGTATGGTCAGGGTAGCCCACGGAATTGCCAGGCCCTGGGTAAGGCGGGGCAGTGGCCCTGCACTTCCAGAAGGGGCGGGGCCTCAGGCAGAAGGGGCGGGATTGGGGCTAGCCTCCCACTGCCAGTTCTTCACTGCCTCCCGGAGTTCACCTCCCAGTGCTCCGGTGGCGATTTAAAGGGCACAGGGTTCTGGCCGCTGTCACTGCCGCAGTAGCAGCAGGGGCAGCTGGGAATCCCAGGACATTTTCAATTGGCAGGTCCTGGGGCAACTGTCCCCTGTGCCCCTCTGTCGGCGGGCTTGGGTACGGCTATTGTGTAAGGAGTTATGTACAGACAAAAAATGACAGCCTTAAACACGTTGTCTAGGGACTGGTCACCAGCAATGGTGAAAAACAGGTTCTGACAGACAAGAAATGTTAATCTGTCTGTCTGTCTGTTTACATGTAAATTACGTATGGCATGGTTCACAATGGGGCTCCTCTTGCAATGCTAAACCGGACGATAATACAGACTATAAAAGCTGCAGAGAGAGACTAGTACTACGGAAAAGCAAACTGTGGGGGGTGAGGGAGAGAAGGGAGACCCCCTATTTCAACGTACACATTAAGGCTGTCTCTACATTGGCATGAATTTCCGGAACTGCTTAAAACGGAATACTATTCTGTTTTCAGTTTTTCCGGAAAAGGAGCGTCTACATTGGTAGCCTGCTTTTCCGGAAAAGCCCTTTTTCAGGAAAAACGTCTGTGGCCAATGTAGACGCGCTTTTCCGGAAAAGAGCCCCGATCGCCATTTTTGCAATCGGCGCTTTTTTCTGGAAAAGACTACTGGGCTGTCTACACTGGCCCTTTTCCGGAACAGTGTTCCGGAATAAGGACTTATGCCCAAGCGGGAGCAGTGTAGCTTTTCCGGAATAGCGGCTGATTTTGTACAGTAGAGAGTCGTTGCTTTTCCGGAAATTCAAGGGCCAGTGTAGACACCTCGCAGCTTATTCCGGAAAAGCGGCTGATTTTCCAGAATAAGTGGCTCTAGTATGTTTGGGGGATCAAGGAGAAACCCTGGTGTCTTTCATTGAAGATGGGTCTCACACAGGCCTGGTTGAAAACACCGGAGAGAGCTTTGAGTGAGATAAGTTTCTTTGGACAATGGTAACTTGTTAGTAAATTATAGTCCCTAGGAAGCAGGTATGTAGCCATGTGTTTCCAATCTTCTTACTCACTCTCACTCAAATCTCTGTTCTTTGATGATACCTTATTCTTACTTTCCCTAGTAACATACCTAAGAGCTATGGTGTTAAGCAAAGTGATGAACAGGAGCAACATCTTACAAGCTGGTACGTGCTGTTCCTTTGGGAACAGCAGGCCTGGTAATTCTGACAGTGTTCAGTGCGTTAGGGGCTTGACACTATTGGGAATGCTCTGAGGACCCCAGTGCCTATTGCTAATATGTGCAGACAGACTACATCAGGGAGGCTGGAAGGTGGTGTTTGTGGTGCCTGAGGCAGGTGGTTTCAGGGAGTGGAGTCACAGCAGGTGCAGACAAGACTTTCTCACACCATAGGCGGTTGATGCGGAAGTGCCTCATAATTTGAGGTATGCCTGGGGAGCATCACAGCATTCACTGGCACCCCAGGGTAGACCATCAGAAAACTGAAAAGGAGAGTAAACAACTGTGTGTAGGGGGGTGGATAAAAAAAGCACATGATCTAGAATGTAAGTTCAGGTAAATCAACACCTGCACAACTACAGGCAGTCCCCGAGTTACGCGGATCCGACTTATGTCGGATCCGCAGTTACGAACGGGGCCCGTCTCCCTGGTCTCCAGCAGACCAGGGGGACGGGGAGCAAAGCGGCGGAGCACGCGGACAGCGGACAGCCCAGACGCGTCTGGGCTGTCCGCTGCCCGCGTGTTCCGCCGCTTTGCTCCCCGTCCCCCCCGGCTGCCGGCCCCGGGGGTGGGGGGC